TCCTATTTCAGTATTTTTTTAAAATTTTATTTTAGACTAATTTGATTAAGAACCAAATCCATTAAATAATTTTTTGTATAATTTTTCTTTGTATATTTTTTTTAAAGCTTTCATTTGTCTATTCTCTCAATTTTGCGTAAAGAGAAGGTTTTATTTTCTTCCCAACATTCATGTTGTTAAAATATTGCGCAAGTGTTGAAAACCTTCTTAATGTTGTGTTCGATTTCCATATATAAAAAAATATTACTAGTAGAGGCGTATATATAAAGGAGGATTGCTAGAGCATTTATTTTCTCACTTGTTGGAATCTTTATTTTCTCACACAAAATAAATTTCTCTATTATAAATACTCATTTTGTTTTATAATAAGTGTTGTATTTAAAAAAAAAAATACATCTTAAAATAAGGATAAATTATCTTTTTTTCATTTATACTTCTTATAATATTTAAAAGTGATTATTATGTTATATTGTTAATATAAAAAAATTAATCATAAAATTATTTTATGAAATCATTATTCTCTTTCATTTATTTATTATTATTATTTTGTTTGTGTAAAATAATTTAGGATGACATTTATTATAATTAAAATGGATTGAGTAAATAATGGGGGTTGATTTGTCTTTTCTTTATTTTTATTTTGATAATAATTATAATTTCAACTTTCGAATTTAACATTTAAAATTTGTCTTCTTTTCGTTTGCCGGATACATTTTTCAAATTTTATATATCTATTACATTTAATAGGGAAGTCTCGTAAATATAGTCCTCATGTAATAATTGAGTACTTATTTTCGTTTATAAAAATGTATCGAAACAATTGCAAGATGGTGTATCAATTAATCATCACATAACAATGTGAAATTTCATAAATAGTTTGATACTTATATTTTTTAAGTGTTGATATATTTATTCTATTCAATAATTCATATTTTACATCAAATTTTAATAATTTAAATGTTAAATTTAAAATTTTTAATACATAAATCAAGTCTACAAATTTTTATAAAATTTAAAAATTATTTGACTCTTAATTTCATTAATTCATATTAAAGGACAATTATAAAAATATTTTATACATTGATTTGAATTTGTATGATAAAGTAGCATATGATTTTCAATTTTTTTTAAAAATTTATAGACTTGATTTATGCATTGATAACATTAAATTTAATAGTTGAATCGTTGAAATTTAATGTAGAACATGAATTATTGAGTGAGTTAAATTTATCAAAATCTACTTTTGATGTAACGTAATTAGTAGACTAGAACGGGGCATTCCCAAATTGGAACGGGTCGTTCTAAATTACTAAATAGGCCTATAAATCCTAGTTGAACATGGGTCATTCCAAACAGGATCGTTGTGAGTTAAATGCAACTCCAGAACGGGCTGTTCTGGTTTGAGAACGGGTCGTTCTGGATGTAAATTTTACACATGACGTTTGAGTCCATAACGGGCCGTTCCGAATTCAAAATGGGTCGTTCTGATCACTCCAGACTTCTATAAATAGGTCACATGCTTGCAGTTGAGGAGAGAGAAGGGGAACTTAGAGAGAGGTTTTAGAGAGAAGGACTCTAGGTTTGTGAGTTCCTTTCTCTCCTAAACTTCTCTGTATGATTCTTCTTCTCATTTAGATCACCAACATCTTCTGTCTTTTCTTGAAATTCAGACTAGGAAGCTTTCTTTGGGTGGATTGAAGTTTCCAGGTTGAGCTTTGAAAGGAAATTCTACTTCTTATCAGTTCTTGGCCATTTTGAGTCAATTTTTAGGTGAGGGAAGCTAGAATGTTTGTTGTTTAGGTTGCATGTGAGTTTAGAAACTCAATCGATGCATGAATGTTGAGAATCCATGGTTAGATTGGAGAAATTGTTCATTTTGGGGTTTTTGGGAAAATTGGAGTTTTGATGATTTTGATGCATCGGATGAGTGCATGTTGATTTTGAACTTTTTTTTGAGTTGTAGCCTGTGCATTGTGTTTTTGTGTTTGCATGTGACTGGATTTGTTGGTTTGGATGAGTTTTTGAACTCTCTGATTGTGATTAGGCCAAGCGCAGGTTGAGCGCGCCGGACGTGGAAGAGCTTAGGGCTCTCGGGTTGGATGTTAGGTCGGGCGTGATTTGATTGCGCCGGGCGTGAGTGGGTTTGATGTTTTTGGATTGAAATTGACGTTCATGCATGTTTAAAGTTGAAGTTTTAGATTATGTATGTATGATATATGATGTATGGTGAGTAGTGATTCATATGTATGCTTGGTAATGATATATATGAATGTTTAAATATGATATGACATGTGTATATGTTCACATGAAAATGATATTGATCATGATGGTGGGTAGACCATGTATGATGTGTGATGCATTATTGCATGTGATGCCTTATGGCACGAGTATGATTATTGATTATGATAGTGGGTAGACCATGTATGATTTGTGATGCATTATTGCATATGATGCCTTATGGCATGAGTCTAGCCTAGGACTTGATGAGAGGGAAAATGTTTTCGAACTAGAAGAGCTCATATAGAGTCTCTTGAGAGTGGTGCTTAGATAGGCCACTGATATATGAGAGTGGTGCTCAGGTAGGCCACTAGATTTGGGTGAGAGTGGTGCTCAGGTAGGCCACTTGGTTGGGTGAGTCTCCTCTAAGTCCTTAGCTAGTGTTGGAGCGGAGTATGAGGTCGAGGGTTATTCCCTTAACCAAGTACTGGGGAAGGTGCGTGGATCCTTGCGGATAGTCGGTGGGCGAACTCCACAAGTGACTTGGTAATGCATGCCAAGGTCGTGGTAAGCCTGTACCCAACTGTGCTATACTTGACGGTGGATCCGGACTTCTAATTGTGTAAGTGACATCATCTGAGTAAACCTGAGTGAGGATTCTTATTCTGTTTAGCTGTGACCGAGCGAGCGCATTGGGCGTGAAAATGGTTGGGGTGGTTTCGGTAGGATTGAGATGTCACTTATACTGCTCTGCTGTTAGGGAGATCTCCTAGGTATATGCGTGACAACACATTAGATGATTGATATGCATTGATATCTGTCGTGAGTTACATGTATTGCATGATTGTTATGATGATGAAGTGTATGGTGTTTGACTTCATATTTGATGAATGGACGATTGATTGAGATGGAAGTTCCTTTGGGACTTGATTTGGATGCATGTATAGTATAGATTTTATTCTGTACTTGTATGATTGCTTTTTGAACTCTAGCTTACCCTTTTGTTTCCATGTTGATGGACTACAATGATCATACTTGGCATGGGAACAGGTCAGGGCTAGCTTAGAGTTGAGGTGACCGCTGCGTGATGGGGAGTTTGTCCTAGTGGTAGAGTTACCTTATTGGGTAACTGTTGTGCGTGCTTGACCGACACTAGGAGGTTATGATTTTGGGATGACTGTACATATATGGTGCTATATTTTGTAATAGAAACGTAATTATTATATTTATATTTATATACCTATATGTATGAGTCATTCAATTTTTATATTTTCTTAGTTCACTAGCTAGTAGTAGTGCGATTCTTCTAAGTGTAGAGACCATGACTGGTCATTACACTTGAAGTAAATAGGTCCCTCCTTATATATATATATATATATATATATATATATATA